CCCTCTCAGATCAAAGCAATCCAGGAGTTGGAGAGACCAAACTCAGTCAAAGAAGTCAGCATCTCACTGGTATGGCGGCTGCACTCAACCGGTTCATAAGCAGGTCATCAGACAGACTAGACCGTTCTTCCAAGCTTTAAAAGCCAAATTTGAGTGGGATGAAAGAATGCGACCGAGCTCTAGAAAGCTTGAAGGAGTACATGTCTTCCCACCACTACTTGTTACTCCAGTACCTGGTGAAGAACTCTTTTTGTACCTGGCAGTCTCTCAGCACGCAGTCAGCACAGTGTTGGTTCGTGCAGAAGGAATACAACACTTACCCATCTTTATGTCAGCAAGACATTGTTGGGAGCAAACAAGGTACTTGCCCTTGGAGAAACTGGCATTAGCCTTAATGATGGCATCCAGAAAGTTGGCACACTACTTTCACGCCCACACCATAGTCGTCCTCACAGCCTTTCCATTAAAAGCTCTGTTTGAAAGGGCGAACTTTAGTGGGCGAGTATTTGAAGTGGGCAGTAGAGTTGGGACAATTCGACATCAAGTTCCAACCCAAGACTGCAATAAAAGCCCAATCTTTGGCAGACTTCGTCGCAGAGTTTACTCCTGGAAGTCATCATATCTGCCAGTCGACCTAACTGACACAACCGAACTAGGGACGGAAGTTGATGCCGAATAGCGTAACCCCTAGTGGAAGGTAGTCAATCAAGCACCAAGGCAGACCATACTAAGGACAACAAGGGAGAGACAAACAAAGGCTCACCAGCAGTTCAAACAGAGGACAAAGGACAGACAGCCAACATGGACCTTGAAGAAAACACCATTCTTGACCTCACGACATCATCTGATCCTTCCACTTGCTGGAAACTATTCGTTGGAGAGATGGTGAAGCTCTTTGTGGATGGAGCATCCACCGACATGGTGCAGGGCTTGCATAGTCCTCATCTCTCCAGACGGCCTGGTTATAGAGCAAGCAATCAACCTTGGCTTCCCAGCATCCAACAATGAAGCGGAGTATGAGGCGCTTCTCGCAGGACTCAAGTCAGCACACTTCATGAAAGCAACCGAACTAATGGTATACAGTGACTCTCTGCTGGTGGTAAACCAAATTTCTGGCGAATACGAAGCAAAAGACGACAGAATGGCCAAGTACCAAGAGTTAGTCAGAACAGAGATCAAGAAGTTTGATGTGGTAAGGATAGAACAAATTGGAAGGGAGGAAAACAGCCGAGCGGACGAGCTAGCAGGCCTTGCCTCAATGACAGATACATCAATCCCTCATCCATTACTCATCGACTTCTTACCAAGACCAAGCATAGAAGACCCGAAGCAGAAGAAGTATGTTGCACAGAATTAGGCCCTTCTTGGATGGATCCCATCATCCTATTCCTAAAAGACGGCATCCTACCAAAGAGAAAAAAGAAGCCAACAGAATAAGGGCAAAGTCACAGCGATTTTGGCTATCTCCATCTTTGGCATTATACAAGAAGTCGTTCTCTGGGCCTTACCTCAAGTGCGTTCATCCAACAAAGTAGAAGCATTCCTGTTCGAAATACACGAAGGGTGTGTGTGGAAGTCATCAAGGGGGAAGGTCGCTCGCTTACAGGGCTATTTCGCAAGGATATTGGTGGCCATATATGCAAGCAGACCAGAGAAATATGTGAAGAAGTGTGAGAAATGCCAAAAATTCGCGCACCAAATACATCAACCAGCAAGAGAACTCCTACCATTAACTAGCCCATGGCCTTTTGCAATGTGGGGCTTGGACATAGTAGGACCACTTCCAACAGCACCTGGCGGCAGAAAATTCTTTCTCGCAGCAACATACTACTTCACAAAGTGCGGTTGGAAGCAGAAGCATTGGCATCAATCAAAGAAAAGATGTGAAGAAGTTTGTTTGGCAGAATATCATCACTCGGTTTGGCATACCAAAAACACTGATCTCAGACAATGGAACTCAGTTCGACGGCAAAATCTTTAGAAGCTTTTGTGAAGAGTACAAGATAGAGTTCTACAATTCTACACCGGCATATCCTCAAGCAAATGGGCAAGCCGAAGCATCAAATAAAAAGTCGTCTTGGATGGACTAAAGAAAAGGCTAGAGAAAGCAAAAGGCAAGTGGGCAGATGAACTTCCTCACGTCTTATGGGCTTACCGCACACACCTCGGCGATCAACTGGAGAAACACCATTCTCCTTAGCCTATGGAATGGAAAGCAGTGATCCCACTAGAAGTTGGCCTCCCCACAATTCGAAGCGAAAATTTTGACCCAGACTTAAATGGAGAGGCCATAGCCTTAAACTCGACCTTGCAAAAGAAAGAAGAGAAGGAGCACTAGTCCACATCGCCTCATACCACGAGAGTTAATCAGAAAATACAGCAAAAAGGTGCATCCAAGACAATTCAAGATTGGGGATGTACTACGCAAAGTAATGGGAAACACCTTGATCCCAGGAGATGGCAAGTTAGGCCCAAATTGGGAAGATCCTTATAAGGTGGTTGGGTTAGCAGGCAAAGGGGCATACCACCTAGAAGACAAGGATGACAAGGCAATCCTAGGCCATGGAATACGGCCAATCTCAAGTTATTTTACTTTTTAGGCT